CATGACATGGCATTTTGGGAATACAAAGCTGATCAAGAACATCTGCTAAACCTCTGACCAGGACAGGGTTTCGGTTGCTGTGGGGCTTCCCCTTTTTAGTCATTTTGGCTTGGAGGTTACCCTTCTTAACCTTGCCACCAGGGTCAGTCAGCCTTCTTGGCTTCAGGTTTCTTCTCCTTAGTGTCCGGCTTCTCAACTTTTTTACCCACCATCTTGCAAGATGGGAAAGAGCAAAAATTCTTAATAAAACTTAGTGAACCCAGAATCCAGCATAAATAAAAAAAATTATACACAACCAAACAAAATTGAAGTTTATTCCAGGGATGCTAGACTGATTCAATTATCTGAAAATCAACCCAATGTAATCTACTATATTAGTAGATTAAAAAAAAACAAAAAAACATGACCATATCAATTGATGCAGAAAAAGTATTTGACAAAATCCAACATCATTCATGATTTAAAAATACTCTCAGATAACTAGAAAAGGAACTTCCTTAACTTGACAAAGAACACATTAAAAAACAAAACAAAACCTAAAGCTAACATCATACTTAATGCAAAAAAACTGAATGAAGTCCCCCTGGAATCAGAAACAAGGCAAGGGGGCCTGCTCTCAGCACTGCTATTCAATGTAATATTGAAGGTTCTAACCAGGGCAATAAGACAAGGCAAGGAAGTAGAAGGCACATAGACTGGAAAGGAAGAAACAACTCTTTCTCTTTACAGATAACATGATTTTCTATGTAGTGTATCCTAAAGAATCTACAAAACAAAATACTTCTAAAACTAATACGTGAGTTTAGTAAGTTCACAGGCTACAGGATCAACATAGAAAAATCATTTGTGTTTCTATATACTAGCAATAAACATAGGGAAATTGAAATTTAAAATAAAATTCCATATACAAATACTAAAAAAAGAAAATACTTAAGTGAAAATATAAAAAAACACATAGATTTTTATGTTGAAAAGTACAAAATGCTGGGCTAAAGAGAGACAGTCCATGTTCATGGATTGGGAAACTCAACATCTTAAAGATATCAATTCTCCCTGCAAAAACCTGGTAAAACAATTTCTATCAAAATCCCAGAAAGATTTTGTTTTAGATTTAAACAAATTTATATGGAAAGAAAATGGAATCGGAATAGTTAAAAAGAATTCTGAAAAGGAAAAATAAAGGGGGGAATCAGTCTACCCAATCTCAAGACTTCTTATATAGCTACAGTAATCAAGTCTGTGTAGTATCAGAGGAAGAAAAACACATAGATCAATGGAACAGAACAGAAAACCCAGAAACAAACACACAAAAATATAGCCAAATGATTGTGACAGAGATGCAAAAGCAATTCCAGAAAGGAATAAGTCTTTTCAATAAATAGTGGTGGAATAACTGAACAGCCATATGCAAAAAAGTGAACCTCAACCTAACACTCACACCTTATAAAAAAATTAACTCACAGTAGAAAAGAATCAAGTGTAAAATCTAAGAAGACTACAAAACTTTAAGAAAATAGCATAGGAGAAAATCTTAGGAAACTTGGTCTAGGTGAAGTGTTAAATATGACCAAAAAAAGCACAATTCATAAAAAGAAAAACTGATAAACTGAACTGCATCAAAATTAAAAACTCTGTGAAAGGCACTAATAAAAGGATGAAAAGACATGCTACTGATCACATATCTGACAAAGGCTTCCTATCACAGGCATATAGATAAGAATTCTCAAATCTCAACATCAAACAAATAATACAATTAGAAAAGGAGCAAAACACATGAAGAGACATTTTACTGATCAGGATATACGAATGGCAAACAAGCACACAGAAAGATGTTCAACATCATTAGCTATCAGAAAAATGTAACAAAATCACAATGAAAAATTACTACATGAAATACTAGAATGAAATATGAGGACAGATAAAATAAAAATTAGAGGATTCAGAGAAACTGGGCCACATATATTACTGGTGGTAAAGTGAAATGGTCACTTTGGAAAGTAATTTTTGTTAGTTTTTTTAAAAAACTAACCACATACGAGGTCTGACAATTAAGTTCGCGAACTCATACTAGAAAAAGTGCTACATACCTCATTGCTGAATATCACTACAGTCACCCTTGAAGTACTCCCCTTGGGAAGCTATGCACCAATGCCTGCACCTAGTTCACCCTTCAAAGCAACTTTGGAACTCTTTTCCTGGAATGGCCATCAGAGCTCTTGTCATATTACCCTTGATGTCCTGAATGTCATCAAAAAGTCTTCCTTTTAATGTTTCCTTTACCTTCAGGTAAAGGAAAACTTATTAGGGGCCAGATCAGATAAGTAGGGAGGGTGTTCTAATACAATTCTTTGTTTACTGGCTAAAAACTCCCTCATAGAAAGAGCCATGTGAGCTGATGCATTGTCGTGATCCAAGAGCCATAAATTATTGGTAAAAGTTCAGGTCACCTAACTATTTCACACAGCCTTTTCAGCACTTCCAAATAGTAAACTTGGTTAAGTATTTGACCAGTTGGTACAAATTCATAATGAAAATCCCTCTGATATCAAAATAGGTTAGCAACATCGTTGCAAGAAGTTCGCGAACTTAATCGTCACACCTTGTACTTATCTACTTACCTTTGGACCCAGCAATTACATGTGGGGGCATTTATCCCAGAGAAATGAAACTATGTCTGTACAACAACCTGTACTTGAGTGTTCACTGTAGGTTTTTTTGCTAATAGCCAAAATCTGCTCAAAACAAAAATGTCCTCTAATAGGTAAATGTCCCTCAGTACATAATGTGGTACATCTGTACCATGAAATACTTCTCAGCAATAAAAAAACAGACTACTGACACATGCAACAATTTGGATGGCTTTCAAGGGCATTGTGCTAAGTGAAAAACCAAACTCAAAAGATCACATGCTGTATAATTCCATTTATGTAACACTGTGGAAATGACAAAATTATAGAGAGAACAAGTCAGTGGTTGACAGGAGTTAGGGAAGGGGAGGGAGGGTAGGACTATGAAAAAATGTAGCAGGAGGAAGATTTTTATGAACAGTTTTTTATCTTGATTGAGGTGGTGGCTATACATATCTACACGTATGATAAAATAACATAGATCCAGACATAAAACACTGACAAATTCAAATTTCTGGTTTTGATTTTATCTAACTTGGAACAACTGGGGAAATAGGTGAAGAGTACATGAGATCGCTCCACATTATCTTTGCAACCTCTTGTGAATCTATAATTATTTCAAAATTAAGTTAAAAATAAAAAAAGACAAAGCAGGAGTGTCTCCCACAACAGAGACTTCTATTGGATCGTTGGAAAAGTCATGATGCATGTTTGCAACAGATGGCACTAGTTCATTTTTGGAAGTACTAGAATCATTCGCATCTATGTTATTGCTATGTCATTTGACAGCTGACAGTTCTAGCTTCATTCTAAAAAAACATTGAGCAATTTGGTTTAGTTTTGGAGACTTTACAACAAGTTGAAGATTAAAGACCGAACTGTAAATTTTTGCCATATTTTACTGTTTTTCTTCCATAAAGGGAAGAACGCATGTCAAGCTTGTGAAAAGGAGCATAAAGTTTATGGTGACAATGCTCTAAAAGAACGTCAGTGCCAACAATGGTTCACAAAATTCCATGCTGGTGATTTTGATCTCAACAACGCTCCTCCATCAGGGAGGCTCACCGAGGTTGATGACAACAAAATAAAGGCATTGATCAAGTCAAAACCGTGTTACACAACCCGAGAGATTGCAGAAACATTGAACATCCATCATTCAAGTGTCCACAACCACCTGAAGAAGCTGGGATATGTAAGCAAGCTCGATATTTGGGTTCCGCATGAACTCAAAGAAGTTCATTTGACAGCGTGTATAAACATCTGCAATATACTCATTAAACGTGAGGAAAATGATCCTTTTGTGAAGCGACTGATAACTGGTGATGAGAAGTGGATTGTTTACAACAATGTGGTGCACAAACAGTCTTGGTCCCGATGTGATGATTCGCCTCAAATGACATCGAAAGCAGACATTCATCAGAGAAAGGTTATGCTCTCAGTGTGGTGGGATTTTAAAGGTGTCGTGTTTTTCGAGCTCCTACAAGGAACGAAACAATCAATTCAAATGTGTAGTGTCAGCAATTGAACAGTCTGAACGAATCCATCATCCAGTAACATCCAGAGCTTGTTAACTGTAAAGGAGTTGTGTTCCATTGCGACAATGTGAGACCACACACAAGTTTGATCACCTGTCAAAAATTATTGGAGCTTGGATGGGATGTGCTGCCACACCCACCATACTCTCCTGACCTTGTGCCATCAGACTTCCACTTGTCTCGCTCTCTTCAAAACTTCTTGCGTGGTATAACGTTCAATTCAGATGAGGCTGTAAGTCAGCACCTTGTTCAGTTTTTCACAAATAAAGACAGGTCCTTCCATGAATGAGGAATTATGAAGCTCACTGAAAGATGGCAAAAGGTTATCGAACAAAACGGGCAATATATCATTGACTGATCATTGTTCTTTATATAAATAAATGACCTTTGAAAAACAGATAAAATACGTCATGACTTTTCCGACAACCCAATATTAGCACTGAACACTTGGCACCAAGGTATTTGGTATGTGATTTTTTTTAAGGTTTTGTTTTTGTTTAAAAAAAAGGCTTTCTTTTCTGAATATAAATAGAATTGAAGTAATTAAGTATAAACTATAAATCATCAAAATCATATTACCAAAGCAAATATCATTGACATGATTCATTTTTAGGTCTATCTTAAAAACAAATTGTAAACATGAAGATTATACAGCAGTTGCTCTATTTTATGAAAGCAAAAGGTGATAATAATCTGTTTAAATAAAGGGTTTGGAGTACATTTCTAATTTCTCTGATACTAGCTCAAGTTGTTTTTTTAAAAAAAAATAAAAGGAGAGTAATACAGAGACCTCAACTTCCCTCACTTGTGTTCTTTAACATAAAGATTTGCTCCCTACCTCAGGTGCAGTGTAGGCTGTGTAAGGAGGAGGGGAAGAAGCCACAACTGTGTCATCATACATGACTTCTGAGCCAAAATAAGCCTGTAAGAGAAGAGAAAGTATGAAAGAGAGTTGCCACAGAGTAACTATAGGCTTTTAGGATGTTATATGCATATCCTTTTTAACAATTTTTTTTTAAGCTGAAAAGTTTAATCCTTTTTTTTAAATAAAAAAAAATGTATTACAGTAAAACACACATTGCCATTAATCCCCCTCAAAAAGATCCCCCTCACTTCGAACACACATATCCCCTCATTCTTGCCACTTTGTAAACAGTTCTGGAAGTCTTCTTTTGTGAGTATCTTTAGTTGTGCTGTCGTGGTTGCCTTGATGGCCTTAATTGATTCAAAACCTTTACCTTTCATGGTCATTTTGACTTTGGGGGAGAGCCGGAAGTCGCATGGTGCCAGATCCAGTGAATAAGGTGGATAAAGACACCGTAATGTTTTTATTTCACAGAAATTGCTGTATACCAGAAGCGATGTGACACCGAGCATTGTCGTGATGGAGGATGACTTACGGAACACTTTAAAACACACCTTCTCTCAACTGTAGCTCACAGTCAATTGCACCAAACAAGCTGAAACTTGTCACACACTGTTACTAAGGTTCGAAACGCTGCTTCCCATATTGAAGTTCCCTGCCTTTCCGTTGGATGGCACTCGGCAGCAGCATTCACCATATTGTTTGATAATACCTCATATTTCTGAAAAATCCTACTGCCACAAAAATCTTACAACTGAGATTTAAAATTTCTTCATCCCTTTTAAATTTCACCAATCTGATAGATTCTTTTGTAGGAAGATCCAATTTTAATATTCTATGGAATTTAATACTCGCTCATTGATGAATTCAAAGGGATCCCAACCAAAATGCCAACAATATTTTTTCTAGAAAATGACTGACTTCAGAGTACATGTAGAAATGTAATCAGATGTGAATAGCCATGAAAATCCTAAAAATGAAAAATAATGACCAAAAAAATCTGCCTGAATATTAGGATCAATAAAAATACAGTGAAATAGTATGGCACCATTGTTAAAAGAGACAATCAATGGATTAAGAGTCCAACAATAGACTCAAGAATGTGATGGAATTTAGATAGTGCTCAGATTAGTGGAGAAAAGATAGATGATTTAATAAATTATGTTGAAAAAACTGGCCAGCCTTTTGTTTTAAAAGAAATGGCTCTCTAATATTCCCCATACTTTTTCATCTTATAAATATGGAAATTTACAACACACACTTTCACTAAAGTTAATTGCAGATGGATCAAAATACTATAAAGTCAAAGATCTAAAATGGGTTACAAGTCAAGAGGGCTAAGCAGCTAACTAAATGTGTGAATCCAGCATTGTGGGAATTGTAATGAATTAGAAAACATCTGTACTTTCCAAACTTTTTTTATGTGTATCAAGTCTGTGGGGCAAGCTGACAAAGGAGATGTCTGCAGGAGGAAACCAGGTGGGAGTTCTAGAGTTCTGGTTGACCTGTTGCTGCTGTTGACTCTTTCAGTAAACACCATTGCTGCGAGTCAGTGGAAATTGACAAATCTATTCATCAGGGAAAGCATCAAGCTGTCTTCTTTTAATCATGTTACCTTCCTACATGCTCAAAATGTGTTTCAGGAAGTTATCTCTGTCTCCTGACTCCGTTCATCCTGGGTCATGTGTGCCCTCTGAAAAGTTTAATCTTTGAACAGCAAATATAATAGCTCTCTGAGAGCAATGAATGGCAATCCCTCCTCACCAACCTGCACTCTGGTGTCCTTTAATTCAGGAGGAGGTGGCCCTCCTCAGCCACCAGCAGAAAGTAGGATTAGAGCTCTGTGCCCAAGAAGGCCACAGAGCCCCCACTGTTACCCAGGCCTTTTAAAAGATGTACCACCTCTCTCAACAACCCTTCTGTTCACCAAAACAAAAATATCCTACACTCTGAAATGTAGCAGTGAAAGATATGTTCTACATACAGTGTCTGTTTTATGCATTAAAAATAAATCCTTTAAATTACTCGCCAATGGAAAAGAAAAATATATGCATTATTAAAAAAAATCCATATGAAGAATCATCTTGGGATCTTGCCCCTAACTACACGGATCATTAGTACTGATTTCATCCAGGAAGATGTTCATGAAAGAAAAGGTAGCTGAAGCTGTAGAGTAAGCTTAAGGGGAGAAGATTTGTCTTGGGCTAACAAGAGTAGGAAAAAAATTATATTTGTATAATAAGTCTTTTTACTTTCTTTTCCATCTGTACAATTTCTTTAATAAGCTCCATCTACCTTTTTCTTTCTTCCTAGAGAAAAAAAGGAAAACGAAAATCCAATCTGAAGAATGAAAATGTTAATGGCAGAGGAATTTGCTTTAGTTCCCCAACAGATACAAAGATGGTATTACTAGTCTTGACAAATGGGGTTTACTGTTCCAGTGACCTTTTTTTTTTTTTAAGATTTTTATTGGGGAATTGGGGGGGGGGATGGGAACAGCGCTGGGGAATTGGGGGAAGGGGAACAGACAAGTTGCTGTCATTTTTGTTCTTCAGTCTAGTTGTGGAGGACGTTGTTTCACTGTCCCAAATTGGCACTATCATTGCGCTGTTCCCGGGCGAGGCAGATCAGTCACCGGCTTCTGGATGGCCGCTCACGCTGGCTGCTGGCTACACACGGCAGCCCATGGCAACCCACTGCCACAGGGGCTGCAGCCTACGCCGTCGCCGGCGACTCACGGCTGCCCAGCTCCAGGTTGAGCTGTTGTTCAGCATCTTAGCTGTAGAGGGCAGTGTCACTGGCCCTCATATGTGGGATCCGAACCGGGGCCCTCTGGCGTCCCAAGCCAGTTCTTAACCATCGCGCCACTCGGCCGGCCCTCCAGTGACCTTCTAAGGTCAGAAGCAGAACTAGAGACAAGTAGAAGTCTTAAATATGTTTGTTTCACAAGGCTGAGCTGGGATGTATAAAATGGACCCTCTGGTTCTCTTTGAGCCTTCTCTGCAAACTGCAGCAGAAATAAAATCTCTGTGAGGTACAAACCTTTCTAGACAACAACACTGGAGCCAGCATGCCTCTGTTAGAAGGGCTCCTCCTGCCACAATGTTTGACAAAATCCAGTTTGCTCACTGTGAGTGAAAGGCACCCTGCCCACCCGTTTGCTCATCCGTGGCTGGATGCCAAGGAACCCACCTTTCCCATTTCCCTTTCCCAATCTCCTATTTTCCTATCTGTTACAGCAAGACTACATGAAAACATTACTGGTAATTGCTATTATCAACTCACTGTGTTTGTCCTGGAGTCCTGGAATGTAAATTTCCAGGCCCTGGAGAAAAGAGAAAGAAAGGGGTACTTTACTTGAGCCAATCCAACATATATCTTGTTAATTCTCAAACTTGTGTTGATATCAGAATTTCTGAAAAAGCTTGTTTTAAGAACAGCTGCTCAGCCCTTGCCCCAAGACCTACTCAATCAACTCATTTGAGACATGCACTAGTAATATATAATATGTAAAAATATATCTATAGTACATATTAATATAATATTTAAAGCATAATCTATACTACACTGTTTGCTTTACTTTTTAATAAATGTAAAGTGTACCATACTTAATTTTATGTCAACTTCCTTTATCAGTTTATGCCATACACACAGATCTACTTCACTTTTTTAATAGCTACATGTTTTCCATTATATGAGATTTAGATTATAATTTTTTTGCATTTAAAACTAATGCTGTCATAAAACTAATGCTGTTATTTATTTTTTGCCAGCTTGAGAAACTGACGTACAACATATGTAAGTTTAAGGTGTACAATCACCTGATACATGTACATTTTTATTGTTGGAATGCAGTAATACCCCATCGTGTGTGTGTGTGTGTGTGTGTGTGTGTGTGTGTGTGTGTGTGTACACACCATATTTTCTTTACCCCTTCATCCATCAACACTTAGGTTGTTTCTATGTCTTGGCTACTTTGAATAATGCTGTAATGGGAGTGTGGATATCTATTTGAGATAATGATTCCATTTCCTTTGGACACATACCCAGAAGTGGGACTGTTGGATCATATGGTAGCTCTATTTTTAGGGTTTTTTTTTGAGGAACCACCATACTGTATCCATAGTAACTATACGAAATTACATTCCCACCAACAGTGCACCAGGGTACCTTCTTCTCTACATCCTTACCAACATTTACTTTTGTCTTTTTCATAACAGCCCTTCTAAGAGGTATGAGGTGATCTCACTGTGGTTTTATTTGCATTTCCCTGATGATTAATGATGTTGAGCACCTTTTTGTGTACCTGTTGTCCTCTTTTGAAAAATGTCTATTCAAGTCCTTTGCTCATTTTTTAATTGGATTGTTGTTTTGCTACGGAGTTGTACAAGTTCCTTATATATTTTGAATATTAACCCTTTATCACATAGTTTGCCAATATTTTCCCCATTCTACAGATACTTTTTCATTTTTCTGATGGTTTCTTTTGCTGTGAAGAAACTTTTCAGTTTGATGTAGTCTCGCTTGTTTACTTTTGCTTTTGTTGCTTGCACTTTTGGTGCTATATCCAAAAAATGTTGCCAAGACCAATGACAAAGACCTCTTTCCCCTGTTTTCTTCTAGTAGTTTTATAGTTTGGGATCTTACATTTAAGTCTTTAATCCATTTTGACTTAACTTTTGTGAGTGGTCTAAGATATAGGTCCAATTTCACTCTTTTGCATGTGGTTACCCAGTTTTCTCAACACCATTTATTGAAGAGACTATCCTTTCCCCATTGAGTATTCTTGGCTCCCATGTCAAGTATTAGTTGACCATATATGCATGGATGTATTTCAGGGCTCCTTATTCTGTTTCATTGGTCTATGTGTCTATTTTTATGCCAGCACCATGCTGCTTTGATTACTATAGCTTTGTAATAAAGTTTGAAATCAGGAAGTGTGATGTCTCTGGCTTTGTTCTTCCTTCTCAAGATTACTTTGGCTATTCGGGGTCTTTTCTGATTCCACATGAATTTTGGGGTATTTTTTTCTATTTCTGTGGAAAATGCCATTGAAATTATATACATAAAAGAGAGACATGGAAGTTATATACACACTTTATGTGATGAGATTTCAATAGTGATTAATTTCGGTCTACATATTTTCCAAAAATGTCACCATCTTTAAATAAGAAACAATCCTTATCTAGAATGACTTTGCCTCCATATTCTGGAGAGATTCACACTAACTGTTTGAATCTCTCCACCCTTTCTTTACAGCCTGATCCAACAGCTACTACTGTTGCTTGCAATACTTTTCCTTGAGATTTCTCTGGAAGCATAATGCCTCCTTTAGTGATAATTGTGGCAGCACTCCTTTCACCTAATACTGGGTCAAAAACACAAATAAACTTTATAAATGCCTGTCCTGCCATGACTCTGTCTGCCACAGTTCACACTCTGCTCTCATGCCAGCAAGGGGAGACCAACAGTCTGGCCAGGTCTTATTCTTTTTAAGGAGAATCTAACCAACTCACATTTATTGCAAGCATAAATATCATTGGTCTAATTACTGCTAGTTCATTTCTTATCTTGCATTAAGTTTTCTCATGTTACTTTCTTTTTGTTTTAATGAGGAATGCTTTCTGTTCTCTTTTATTCTTCTAGTTTAAAAAGTATTATCTTTTGTTGCTATCCTCCCCAACTTGTACTTAAAATTAGACATATATATAAACTTCCATTTTCCCATATAGGTCAAGAAAAAGTCAGCCTACTCTGACCCACCCACTCCTCCAGGCCAAACAAGGCAAGTCCTTCAACATACTTTTATTTCTTCTACCTCCTCTATGAAAAAACCTCCCATGTTTTGTTAAAATACTCTAAAATTTTAGCTCCATATATTTTTTCTAGTATTACTTATGAACGTTCCATACATGTGACATCTCAGCATACAGTAGAACAGAGCAATGAAGGACAAAGGGCTTGGATACAAAGGCTTAAATCCTGAGGCAAGTCTACTAGCTCTAAAACGTTGGGAAGTATGGTAGGCAAAACCATGCCCCTCTCCACAAAGATGCCCACATCCTAATCCTCGGAACCTGTATGTTACTTAACAGGGCAAAAGGCTCTGCAACTATAATTAAGGTTAAGGACCTTGAGATGGGGAAATTTTTCTGAATTATCCAGGCTGGCCCAAATTATTTATGAGTCCTTTAAAGCATATAACCTTCTGCAGCTGCAGAGAGTCAGAGAGATGACAGCATAAGAAGGGCACAGGCCAGATGCCAAGGAATGCAGGCAACCTCTAGAAACTGGAAAAGGCAAGAAACAGACTCTCCCTTAGTCTCCAGAAGGGACACAGCCCTGCCAACAGTTTGAGACCCAGTGAAACCCCTGTTGGACTTCTGACCTCCAGAAACCTTATCATAAATTTATATTGTTTAAAGCCACTAAGTCCATTGTAATTTATTATAGGAGCATCAAAAATCTGATATAGGAAGTTACTTAACCTCACTAAACCTCACTTTCTTATAACAACAGGAACAGTGCCCACCTTATAAGACATGGTAAGGATTTAATAACATAGGTAAAGAAATGAAAACAGTGCCTAATGCAAAGTTAAGTACTCAAGGTACATAAACTTTGAGAAAAGAAAGGGTGCTTCAGCTTCTCTGACTTAATCAGTATCCAAGAGATAACAATGAGCCTCCCTAAAATTCCTTACTGAAGGTACAAACCATGAGAGCAGTCACATATCTCTTCTACAGTTTTCAATACTAAAGATCAATTATTACAGAAAACAGTGGCTTTTCTTCCTACGTCCTGATAAAATTCACCTTAAGGAGTTTCAAAGCAGTTTCATTCTTACCAAACCCCATTCCCAGACTACCTGATGCAGGGGCACAGCCACTCAACCTTATCCTTCCTACACATTCCGTCCATTTGATGTAACACTGTTAATCATTGAAAAGATGTGCCCTGATTGAAACTCCTGACACACAGATGTACTTTTTGCTTACTCTTCTGTCTACAGAAGTACCCCTCACTTTTTGAAAGTTAGAGCACTGTTTTAAGGCTTTTTAAAGCTGCGCTTTCGGGCTACACAGACCTCAGGAAGGCCCCAAACAAAAAAATCTAGTTTTCAGAAATTCAGTTTTTTTCTTGTGACAAAGTAAATTATTAAATAGCAATAATATAGCTCCAGTTTATACGAAAGCAGTGAATTGGTTTGACATATAGTAATTTCTCCATCAGTCTTTAGAAAACCCACGTCTCTTCCAGAAAGTATCACTTAAGATTCAGTGCTATAAATCAGAAGATGTAAGAAAGAAACTACCTCTGAGATTTAAAACCCTAGAATTTAGCACAGAATCAATATTTATATTGAGTATGAACATATATGTGAAATACACAGGCAGGTACTCTAACAAAATGGTCTGTTGGGTTTTATGAAAATGCCACATATATATGAATATTTTAATGTATATAAATATTACAATAATCTGTTAGCGAATTTTCATAATGTCCAGAATTAACCCATGGGAGTGGTACAGAGTGGGCAGAAAAAACATATTCTTCTCCCCAAATGACATTTAATTAGTTTTTTCAAGATTCTAATCCAACATCAATACCAATGTTAACAGGCTGAGAATTGATAAGGTTGGGTTTTGCTCCTTGAAGTTTTGCATCCCTTCTTTAGAGATGGCAGCTGGGAGTAAAAACCATCAAAGGAAGGAAACAGTTGCATAATCTAGATGTCAGAGCTTTTTAAAAAGACAGTTACATAAAAAAAAATAGAAAAACAAGATTTAAGAACCCATTCAATTATGCCCATTACCCAATAATGAAAAATGAGAGCACAAAGTGACTGTATGCTAACACTCTGTACTATTCTTGTTATAATGGGATCCTGCTTGGGCAGCTCTGGAGAGGCAGAAACTAGGATCAGGGTTAGGAGAAATGGAATAAGACTCCATTACATTTCTTCCACACATCCTCTGAGTCACCTATTCTGCTGTCTGAGGAAATTTCCATTCTCTTCCTTTCCTGGTAACTGAAAATTAAAGCAATAAATACTTTTTAACTTTTTTTTTTAATTTTTATTTAATAATAATAATAATAATAACAATAATAATAATAAATACTTTTTAAATTTAACACTTAAAAATCAAAACTTACAAACAATCATCCATGCTTTCTGCACAAAGACTGAGAGTTTTCCCATCTCGGCAAACAATCTGCAGCACACAGTCTTTTGGCGTCCCATCTGGAGGCTGAATATCTATGAAAATTAAGTAGAATAAAGGAACATTCATAGAGATAGAGTTTTTTTAAGGGCTTCTTCTTACCTAGCAGCTCAGATAAGAGAAGGGCCAGTACCTCAGAACATTCCAATTGCAAACACCTTTGTTCTACTCTGCAGAAACAAACACATGAATCACAAGTCCGTTCTAATTCAACTTCCTGCAGGAAGAACAAGTAGGCCACTCCTAGAGGGCAATGCATACACAGAGATGTACGGAGTAGCCCAGACATTAGGAAAATAAGCCTCACACAACGAAAAAGTATTACAAAGCAGAAAATGACAAAATGCTTACTGCTTTTATTCACAGGAAGCACCATACCAGAGCACTACTTTAAAAGTGAAAATCAGAAGATTTTTAAAGTATCTTATGTACCAAAAAATAAGGTCTATGATATCTGAGCCTAGTTTAGGTAGGTCCATGGAGACTAGTATTTCACAAACTAATATGTAGGGGCAGCATGTTACAAATACCAACATTTACTACACCAGACTCTTTATTCCAAATAGCAACAGAACTAATAAAATAAACAGGGGGGCCGGCCAAGTGGCTCAGTTGGTTAAGAGTTAGCCTAAGAGCGTGAGCTCTGAGCAACAGGGCCACAGGTTCAATTCCCACATGGGCCAGTGATGCTGTGCTTGAGCTGAGCTGCTGCTGAGCTGCCAACAGGTGGCAGGATGGCTCAGCTGGTGAGAGCCCATGCTCCTAACAATAAGATTGCCTGTTCGATGGTGGGCTGTGCACGCCCGCAACTAAGACCGAACTCAGCACCTTGAGCTGAGCAGCCAACTGGATGGCTCAGTGGATAAAGTGTGCACTCTTAACAACAAGGCTGCTGGTTTGACTCCCACATGGGATGGTGGCTATGCCCACCTGCAACTAAGATTGTAACACAGCACTTTGAGCTTAGAGGCCATGTGCTGCCGACGAGCAACCAGATGGCGACTGGAGCCCTCCACATCTAAGATTGAAGAACAACAACTTGGCTAGTCCCCCTCCCCAATTCCCAAACACTGTTCCCCTCCCCCAATTCCCCAATTAAACAAACAAACAAACAAAAAACGGGGAAGTCTACATATGCTATTAATTAGAAATAAAAAAGTCTATGCTTGTTAAAAATCTATTCCTTTAAAATGAATATTAGGGGGCTGGCCGAGTTGTGCGTTGGTTAAGAGCTGGCTTGGGATGCCAGAGGGCCCTGGTTCGGATCCCATATATGAGGGCCAGTTGACACTGCCCTCTACAGCTAAGATGCTGAACAACAGCTCAACCTGGAGCTGGGATGCTGAGTCGCCAGCGACAGCTTAGGCTGCAGCCCCTGCTGCAGTGGGTTGCCATGGGGTACAGTGAGTAGCCAGCAGCCAGCGTGAGTGGCCAGCAGCCGCTGTGAGCGGCCGTCCAGAAGCCGGCGATTGATCTGCCTCACCTGGGAAGAGCACAATGATAATACCAACATGGGCCAGTGAAGCAACATCCTCCACAACTAGACTGAAGAACAAAAGGACAGCAACTTGTCTGTTCCCCTTCCCCCAATTCCCCAGCGCTGTTCCCACCCCCTAATTCCCCAATAAAAATCTTTAAAAATAAATAAATAAATAAAAGTCTACAACCACTGTATAAGACGCACCCAGTTTAAAAAAAAATGAATATTAGGGATAATTCCAAGAAACCAAGATATCACAGATTTTTAGAAATTGACTGGAGTTGTCATGAGTAAGATGCCAGTATTTGCTGGGAGGCTCCATCCTTCTTGGGGTTTCTAGCACTCTGGTTCCTTAGTTCTCCACCACCTTCTCCATGAGACAGGAAGGAATGTGGACCTGAGTGTCTATTGAGATGAGAAAGTTAATTTGCTCTAACCATGTGGTTCATGATCTAAGTGTCTGGATCCCCACTTGGTTACCTCTTCCCAGATGAAACCCTTCTGTGGTCTGTTAGTCGAAGCAGAATGGGGGAGGTAGAGGAATCAACTCCCATCAAGAATGGGGAAAGGCAGTGACAGAAGCTAACCAAGGCAGACCCGCTTACCCCGACATTCGTGACCTGTATGGATGTTGATGCAGTCCACTGGCATGTGGACCTTATCCTCAACACTCTGCCGAGTTTGGTCATCATAATAGATCAAGTGACCATCTGACCACAGGTCAAACCAATTCTTCTTCCAGCGCTTCAAAATAGTACCTGAAAAAAAATGAGAAAAGTTGGCTTTGAGCTGAAAGAGCAAGGACTTTGTCCTCTAAATCACACATAACAGACAAAGAAAAGCTTCCTCTAGCCCATAAATATACCTGGATATAACTGTCCAGAGAAGTCCATCAAAAAGGAAGTGAAAGCAGACCCAATGGCAAGAACACGCGTGCTGTACCAGAGCTGCACGCAGCATACACTGGGGATACTGAGAACATTACCAACTTACAAGTCCCAAAAGTAAAAAAAAAAAAGGTTCAATAAAACCTTAGTTTTGAGTTAATGAAACATGTCTAGCATTTTTCTTCATTGAGTACGTACGTATACTTTCCCAGCAGTATCTAACTTTGCTAGATTGATCAGCAGAGTCTCTATACACAAATAACAGTAATACCTATCCTCTCTTAGAAAAATACTTTTTTCTCTTTTTCTTGAAGAGCTCTCACATATACTCTTCTCTAACATTCACCTCAAAGCCAAAAGCATGGGAAGATTTCCCTGTCTGATGCAGAGCAGAGGCAGGCTCAGACAATGAACACACCACAGCCAGGAAACTGACCCCAGACCCAGGGCATCCGTCATGTCTCTAGCAGTCTGAGCGAATTCATCCTTTCATTTGTAATCCTGGACTAGGCATTTAACTTCATAAACTCTAATTTACTTGCCAGCCAAAAGGGAAAACTAAAAGGCCAGTTTTTGCTCCAGGTCATCCCTGCAACTTGTCACACCCACATACGACCTACTGCATCCTTTGTTCCTATAGCTCCTACCATGTTCGTGACTGACATACACAAAGCCCATCCCATGCACCTCTCCTTACGCTCCCACATCCACTACTGGTGTTAACCAAACATGCCACATATCAGCCTTCCGGATTTCTTTTACCACTGTCAGGCACCCTCTTTGCTGAGGGACATGCACAGCATTTGCCCAAACTGATAAATACTATAAGTGATACCAAACAGCCATTTGATTGGCAGCACCCGAGCTGCGCAGAAACTACCAAATAGAGCTACCTGAGAACAGATAGGTGGAAAAACAGATATGGGGAGTTCTAACCAAGTATATCAGCTGCCGTCAAAGCCTTGACTGCAAATTCCCAAATCGGGCTGTCTTCCAGAGTCCAGATACTAGGTTCTAAGAGTCTATGTGGCCATTATGGAAATCAATATGGAGGTAGCTCAAAAAACTGGAAATGAAACTACCTTATGACCCAGCAATTCCTCTTTTAGGTATTTATCCAAAAAAAGCCCAAGACATTAATCCGAAAAAATATATGCACCCCTATGTTCATTGCGGCACTATTCACAATAGCTAAGACTTGGAAACAACTGCAATGCCAATCGGTAGACGACTGGATTAAGAAAATATGGTACATTTACTCAATGGAGTATTACTCAGCTATAAAGAAGAAGGAAATAGTACCATTTGCAACAATATGGATAGAACTAGAGAACATTATGCTAAGTGAAATAAGTCAGTCAGAGAAAGACAAATACCACATGATCTCACTAATACGTGGATTCTAAAAAACTGAATAAATGACAAATGTAAACAGAAATAGTCTCAGAGACACAGAGGAAAAACTGAGGGTTGCTAGTTGGGAGGGGGTGGGGATGAAGGAGAAGGGGAAGGGATGAGACAATACAAATTGGTAACTAAAATATGGCCTTAAGGATAGAAAAGACAGTCTGGGGAATATAATCAATAATGTTGTAAATATTTTCTAAGGGGCCAGATGGACTCATGTCTTGTTAGGGAGACCACTTCATAGTTGGTGTAGAGGCCTGACCACCACACTGTATTTCTTTCTTTTTTTTTTTTTAAAGATTTTTATTGGGGAATTGGGGGATGGGAACAGCACTGGGAAATTGGGGGAAGGGGAACAGACAAGTTGCTGTCCTTTTGTTCTTCAGCCTAGTTGTGGAGGACATTGCTTCACTGGCCCAAATTGGCACCATCATTGCGCTTTTCCCGGACGAGGCAGATCAGTCACCGGCTTCTGTACGGCTGCTCACTGCGGCTGCTGGCTACACATGGTAGCCTATGGCAACCCACTGCAGCAGGGGCTGCAGCCTACGCCGTTGCCGGTGACTCATGGCAGCCCAGCTCCAGGTTGAGCTGTTGTTCAGCATCTTAGCTGTAGAGGGCAGTGTCACTGGCCCTCATATGTGGGATCCGAACTGGGGCCCTCTGGCATCCCAAGCCAGCTCTTAACCAACGTGCCACTTGGCCAGCCCCCGCACTGTATTTCTGAAGCTGATGTTGAATAATAATGTATGTCAACTATAATTATATATACATATAGTCACGGGAGATGGAGTAGAGTGTGGGAATGGAGTCAATGGACTTGTAATAGGTAAGCATGATATCGGGGGTGGGAGGGAAGTAGATGGGGGAGGAGGGTTGTTTCTGTGCGAAGGGTGAAAAGGATAACTATTGCATTGTTCTGTACACCTGAAACTAACAATAAAAAAAAAATAAGAGTCTGTGTGGCAATGGCAGGAAAAGGAGTCCTGGAGACAGTTTTGCATACATATAACCACATGTGTTATCTCTGCTGCTCTGCAACTCAATGAGTATAATACACTTTGCCTCATTTTACTTTATTGTAATTAAAACTTCTGCTTTTAGCAAAGAAGGAAAATCAACCTAGAAATCGGGAGATGGGGAAGTAGAATAAGTCTTCTGAATACACACTTTTGAGATAGCCATAGACCAGGACATTAGAAAAGTTTGTATAATTTAAAGGACATCTATTTTGTATATATTGTCATAACAGGCACTGATGGGGAGCATAAAATTGTCAAGAGAGTCACTGTTTATTGCATGTTGACAGCACTAAATTGAGTTATGGTGGATAGAGGAGAGGTACAGCAGAGCCTAAGGGAGAGCCCAGAGGACATCCAAAGGGCTGGGATAGGAAGGCACATCTTCAAGGACTAAGCAAGGTGCTCCATGTCCCCTGACCATTTGGGGGCAGGTTGGAATCACAAAACCCAGGACAAGGAAACTTACATAAACATGGGGCTAGACTCCAATATGCCAGGACTTTCTTTTGTAATGTTGTAAAAGCTAACATTAGCACAACTCTATCTAGTCTTAGAACACAAGGCTTGAAATGTCACAGACCTTGAAAGGACACTTGGCTCAGCTCTAAGTCTGGGAATGTGAAACTAGTAACAGAATGGACAGGCTGAAGGCTTGTCTCCTGGGAAAAATGGGGTCAACGCTGAAATGAGACAATCCTCAGTTTGAACGTAGGTTTCTCACCCATAGTTAACACTTGGACAAGTTACCTGATATCACTGAACCTTAATTTCTTCATCTGGAAACTGGGACAATGCCACCTACTTCACAGAGCCATTATGATAATTACATAATACATGTAAAATCTGTTTAACAGGAACACAAAGAAGCTTCACAAGCAATAGTTTTTATAAACTAAGGTATGCAATCTATTTTTCACTGATAGTCTACATATGAATTCATATCTGAATAATAAACAGTACAGAAGTTCCTCCTTATCTGTGCTTTTGCTTCCCATGGTTTCAGTTAACTGTGGTCTGAAAATATTAAATGAAAAGTTCCAGAAAAAAACAATTCATAAGTTTTAAAATGCATGTTGTTCTGAGGAGAGTAATAAAATCTTGCACCAGGGCCGGCCGAGTAGCTCAGTTGGTTAAGAGTTGGCTTGGGAGTGTGAGCTCTGAGCAGCAGGGCCGCTGGTTTGGATCCCACATGAGGGCCAGTGACACTGCCCTCTACAGCTAAGATGGTGAACAACAGCTCAACCTGGAGCTGGGTTGCCATGAGTTGCCGGCGACCGCATAGGCTATAGTAGGGCTGCAGTGGGCTGCCCTGAGCTACCGTGAGTAGCCGGCAGCCAGCGTGAGCGGCCAGCAGTCGGCATGAGCTGCTGTGAGCCAGTGTGAGCGGCCGTCCAATGGCTGGTGACTGACTGCCTCAGCCGGGAAGAGTGCAATGATCACAATACCAACATGGACCAGTGAAGCAATGTCCTCCACAACTAGAATGAAAAACAAAAAATGACAGCAACTTGTCTGTTCCTCTTCCCCAATTCCCCAACGCTGTTCCCCTCCCACAATTCCCCAATAAAATCTTCAAAAAAATATCTTGCACCATCTAGCCCTGTCCACCTGAGTCGTGAATCATCCCTTTATCCAGTACATCAAAGCTGTAGATACCCTCCACCCACCCACTAGTCACCTAGCAGAGGTCTTGGTTATCAGATCAACTGTCATGGTATCGCAGTGCTTGTGTTCAAATGGCCCTTATTTTACTTAGCAATGATCCCAAGCACAACAGTAGTGATGCTGGCAAGTTAGAGGTGCCAAAGAGAAACCATAAAGTGTGTATGTATAGGAAAAACACATACTATATATATATATATATGGTTCGCTACTGTCTGTGGCTTCAGGCATCAACTTTGGGGTCTTGGAACATATCCCCTACTACAGTACCAAAGGTATACTTTTAGATAAATGTATACCCTCAGGTTAAATCTTTAGCCTTATAATCAAAGACGCCAGTATTCCAGGCTCTCAGTCACTATTCAATCCCCAGGTACAACAGGTATTTCCCACAAAAAAAGCAATACCTCCAGGCTAATTTATCAAAACAGCTTGGGGAGAGTCAAGCAGAGCCTCAGGTCAGCCATTAATAATAAAGCCTGCTAGTGAGAGAAGAGAAACCAGCAGGAAAACCACTGTTCCCTGGCTCCTGTCAATGCAGCAGCCAATAAGGAGCTCCATGTGTGCAGAAAAACAGCTCATAGAGCTCTCAAAACTCCCAAAAGGAAATCCAGGGTAACAACATTAGTAAGACTTTGTTATTTGTTTTTAAATAGACCTGTTTCAGCAACAGAAATATAGATGTGCCCTAAAGCAACAGTAAACCCAGAACAAGGGGCTCGTGTCAGTACTTACTCTGTCGCAGCAGCCATCCACTCTTCACAACCACCATTTTTTCACCTATAGCAAAAGAAACAGGCAGGTTCAAAATTATACCCAGAAAGGAGAATGGCCCTTTTGAGCTACTTTTAATTCATAACACTTCTGACACCAAATGGGTGGACTTTTTCCACACCAACAACCAATTCCCCAACTCTCAGGACACCAACTAGATTTCTACTGATTTAATTCGATTCTGACCCTAACTACTTGGAGTTAGCATCAGACCCCACAGGTTAAGGGCTCAGATCCACAAGAGTGCTCCTGCTTCAAATATAAGTCCGGGCCGCCTATCATTCTGACCTGTAAATTGGGGGTTCCCACAAGCACTTCTCCTCAGATTCAGTAATTTGTTAGAATGGATCACAGAATTCAGGAAAGCACTTTACTTACTGTTACCTGTTTATTATAAAGGATACCACTCAGGAATAGCCAAACGGAAGAGATGAACAGGGAAAAGTGTAGGGGAAGAGCGCAGAGCTATCATGCTCTCTCCAGGGCATCACCTGCCCAGCACCCTGCATGATCATTAACACAGAAGCTCCTGGAGCCCTGCCATTCAAGTGTTGTTAAGAAAGTTCCATTAGGTGGGCATGACTGACTACATCACTGGCCACTAGTGAATAAACTCAGTCTCCAACCTCTGGTCCCCTCCCTGGAGGTCTAGGGATGGGGCTGAAAGTTCTAACTTTCTAATTACAAAGTTGATTCCTCTGGTAACCAGCCACATCCTGAAGTTATCTAGGGGCCCACCAATAGTCATCACATTAGCATAAACTCAGATATGGCTGAAAGGGGTTTATTATTCCTAGCACCTCTGTCTCTCAGGAAATTCCAAGAGTTTTAGAAGTTAACATATTTCTTCTTATATCACAAAATCACAGTTCTCTGGTCTAACTCTCCATCCTCATCCCTTTCAGTGTCATCTGAGGAAGGGACCAAAGCCTTTTTATCTCACTGGCCACCTGGCATTTATCAAATACAGTATCTCTTCAGTGAGGCCAATACAATCCCACTCTCCCCACTCCAGGCTTTAGCCTCAATACTCTGCCTATCTTACTGAGTCTAACTCCACTCAACAGACATAAAGCACCTGCAGTACACTAAGATTTAGCTCTGTCAAGGATCTGTGGCTTCTCCTAACATGCCCAGTATCCTGGGGCTCTGGGGCCCCACTGCCTCAGTTTTATCCCTGGTGTGCCCAGTTGACTTTACACAGCTCTGTGTGGTATGCACTGGTGTCAGCAGGTGGAGTGGCCAGGTTAGAGCAGAAAACCAGGAATCGTAAAGAAAAAGTTTGATAAATTTAACTCCATAAAAATAAAGGTCTGAGTGGCCAAAAAACAAACAAAAAATGTCAAGAAGACCAATAAAAGAGTAAGAAAAAACATTTACAACCATATGGGAGCAATGAGCTAATTTACAAAGCTCACATATAACAGAAACAGCAGTCATTTGGCAGTTCACAGAAAAAGAAACATGAAAGGGCACAAAACCTCATAAGACACTCAATTTGTCACTCAACTAATCAGATAAGATACAAAACACAACTTAACAATATTACCTATCAGAAAGGCACAAATGAAAAAACTATGATACCCAGAAAGGACAAGACATGATGGCAAGAACAAAAACTGCTGCAACCTTTTGGGAGGAGAAATTTAACAATATCTATAAAAAAATTTCAGTGCCCTATACTTTGACTCAGATATCTCACCATTAGTAATATACCTCATTGATATATATGCAGAGATTCACCAACATATATGTACATTCACGTTGCTTATACTGCAAAACACTAGCCTCAACCAAAACACCACACAACAGAGGACTGTTTAATGAGCACATTCATACAACAGGTCATTCTGCAAATGTATTGGGTCGTCAGAAAAGTCATGAAGTATTTTGTCTATGTTTTCCAAAGGTCATTTATTTATATAAAGAACCAAGATGAATCAATGATATATTGCCCATTTTGTTCAATAACCTTTTGCCATCTTTCATTGAGCTTCATAATTCCTCGTTCATGGAAGGACCTGTCTTAATTTGCGAAAAACTGAACAAGGTGCTGACTTACAGCCTCATCTGAATTGAACATTATACCACGCAAGGAGTTTTTTTGTTTGTTTGTTTTTTGTTTTTGTTTTTGTTTTTTTAATTTAAATCTTTTTTTTTTAAGATTTTTATTGAGGAATTGGGTGATGGGAACAGCGCTGGGAAATTGGGGGAAGGGGAACAGACAAGTTGCTGTCCTTTTGTTCTTCAGTCTAGTTGTGGAGGACGTTGTTTCACTGGCCCAAGTTGGCACCATCATTGCGCTCTTCCTGGGCGAGGCAGATCAGTCGCCGGCTTCTGGACGGCCACTCACTGCGGCTGCTGGCCACTCACGCTGGCTGCTGGCTACACACAGTAGCCCATGGCAACCCACTGCCATGGGGCTGCAGCCTACGCCGTTGCCGGAGACTCATGGCAGCCCAGCTCCAGGTTAAGCTGTTGTTCAGCATCTTAGCTGTAGAGGGCAGTGTCACTGGCCCTTATATGTGGGATCCGAACCGGGACCCTCTGGCGTCCCAAGCCAGTTCTTAAACATCGCGCCACTCGGCCGGCCCCACACAAGGAGTTTTGAAGAGAGCAAGACAAGTGGAAGTCAGACGGCACAAGGTCAGGAGAGTATGGTGGGTGTGGCAACACATCCCATCCAAGTTCCAATAATTTTTGATGGGTGATCAAACTTGTGTGTGGTCTCACATTGTCGCGATGGAGCACAACTCCTTTACAATTAACAAGCTCTGGATGTTTCTGGATGATGGATTCTTCAGGCTGTTCAATTGCCGACAGACAGTACACATTTGAATTGATTGTTTGGTTCCTTGGTAGGAGCTTGAAAAACACGACACCTTTAAAATCCCACCTCACTGAGAGCATAATCTTCCTCTGATGAATGTCTGCTTTCAATGTCATTTGAGGCGAATCATCATGTCAGGACGAAGACTGTTTGTGCACCACACTGTTGTAAACAATCCACTTCTCATCACCAGTTATTAGTTGCTTCAAAAAAGGATTGTTTTCCTCACGTTTAATGAGCATATTGCAGATGTTTATATGCGGTGTTAAATGAACTTCTTTGAGTTTATGCAGAACCCAAATATCAAGCTTCCTTACATATCCCAGCTTCTTCAGGTGGTCATGAACGCTTGAGTGATTGATATTCAATGTTTCTACAATCTCTCGTGTCGAGTAACACGGGGTTTGACTCAATCAATGCCTTTATTTAGTCGTCATCAATCTCGGTGAGCCTCTCTGACCAAGGAGCATCGTTGAGATCAAACTCACCAGCATGGAATTTCGTGAACCATCGCTGGCACTGACATTCTTGTAGAGCATTGCCTCCATAAACTTTATGCTACTTTTCACAAGCTTGACGCGCGTTCTTCCCTTTATGGAAGTAAAACAGTAAAACATGGCAAAAATGCACAGTTTGGTCTTCCATCTTCAACTTGTTGTAAAATCTCTGAAACTCAACCAAATCGCTCAATTTTGTTTTAAAATGAAACTAGAACTGTCAGCTGTCAAATGACATAGGAATAACATAGATGCGAATGACTTTAGTACTTCCAAAAATGAACTAGTGCCATCTTTGCAAACATGTGTCATGACTTTTCCCACCACCCAAAAGAAGGAACAAAGTAAAACTGTGTGTGCTCATACGCGCACACACTGCTGACACATGCACGGCTGTTTTCTCAAAGGAATCATAGAGGCTGTTAACCATGTGCATCTCTGAGGAGAGAAATGAGACAATGCTGTAACGTGTCAGAAGAAACGGTGACTTCAGTCCTACTACACCTTTCTGTACTACTGAAATATTTTTAACAATCTGCATATATTACAGCTTTTATTTTTTAAAATCAACAGATATTAATTGGAGGTTGAGATTATGGGCCACTTTTGTTTTCTACTTTAGCATTTTTAGGTATTATCTTTAAAGCACTAAGGTTTAGAAGGTTAGCAGAATGGAGCAAAAACCCAAGCAGGCACCTCAAAAGAACAAATGAGTCTCCCTCAATTAATTTTTCCCATGTCTAAGCCTGGGTGAATTCTCACTTCTCTTCAAACCTTTAGAAAAAGCACTCCACAAGCTTTAGTCATCCCAAATTCCAGCATCTCCAAAATCTCATACTCTAAAGATTCTTAATCTCCTTGCAATTTTTGCCAATTCATGCCATCCTCACCAAGAAAGGACACACGTTTGTCATCCTTCCCCCTCTTTCTCCCATGCATTTAGGATCTGAAACATACAGTCCCAGAGGAACTAGAGCCAGAAAGTGGGTGTGCAAGCTGCTCACTGCTTTCTACAAGGAGGGAATGAGGCTGAGGGCAGCAAACTAGAAATGGAGGAGCCAGTGACTCAACCAACAGGGAAACTCACTCTAATCCAAGGCTTTCTGTTAAGCAAAATGATAGGTTTTCTTTTATTATTTAAACTGGGTTGAATTGGTTTCCTCAACTTACAGCCTAAATCATCCTAAAATAATCACTGACTTTCAAAAGGATTTGAGGCAGGGAAATAATACCATCATATTTTCATTCAACAAATATTCCAGGGCATTTTGCCCTCTAGGAGAGCCTGCAAGGAGGGCAGTAATCTGAGTACAGGAAAGAAAGTTCTTTATCTCCACGAAAGAGATGTCTTTTGTCTGTCTATTAGCCTCTGCTGACTGGTGTCACCATCAGATGGAGCACACTGCCTTGGCAGCAAGAGCAAACTTGCCTCTATCTAGTCTGTCTCCTGATCTCTGACCACAAAGCAGCGGAGCAGGGGACTCTGACTGTCACTCAGCCCACTTGCCCCTCAGCCTTGCAGAACACTTACACATCACTGCCTAACATGTGTATCTTACTCATCAGCCTGGACCAGTCCTTGGTCCTGGATCCTGCTAGCCTGCCCTGCCTTGAAGTGACCTAGGACCTGTGTGCAGAGGAGAAAAACAAAAAAAGGCAGATTTTAAACATCCATCTTT